TATAATTTTCTTTGAAGATTCGTAAACAAATCGTTACAGAAATGAGATACTCCTAACGATTTCCTTAAGATTTCGGGAACTTTGGTTTGCAGGGGAGTCCAGTTTTGTTTGTTAATCATCGCTCATCGCTCATGACGATTTATTTTAAATCGACATCAACGCTTGGATCACTTGTACGCATTGTGTATCCCTCCATGAATAAGTTTGTAAAAGTAAATATTAACATATGAAGATTTTTGGCCATGTTATTTGCATGGAGCCGAAGACGTCGATAACGATGTTAATCGGTGATTAGTGTCAATCAGGCTTTGAGCAACCGGCCCTAAATACATAGAGCGTGTGTGAATCGGTAACAAAGTTCGCAGCGAGTAAATTTTTGACAACTATGAGGGGAATAAAATTTCAGTAGCTCATGAGGCTAGTGAAATTTTTGACAAATGTATAGAAAATTCTGACAATCGCAAAGATTGTTGATGTGTGTAATTTTTCGTTAAATAAAAGCTTAAATTGATGAATTGCAATCAATGATGGCAAATGTTTTCTTAAAATATTAATTTCACTTCAAGTTGTAATATGTTATTCCGCATAAATTTGCGGTTATCAAAAATTTACTGTTGTCAAAAAATATTTCATTTCACACAGCAGATTGGCAAAACTCTCTCACCATAGTAAAAATATTATTCAACAGCTTTCCCCATAGAACTTTGTTACCGATTCACACACGCCCATACAATCAAAGTCTATACTTTTACATGTTGTCTAAGTTTTTAGGTGTAGGTGTTCTGAGAAAGACGAAAATTGTGGAAAACAATTTGGAAAGGATGCTGCTGATGAAGTGCTTTTCGGAATCAAAAAGCCAACTGTGTCGACCAGCAGTCGGATTCTAACTTTCGTTATAGCTAAAATACGCTAAAATGCGAAAGCTTACATTTTATCCGCTTTTCGCTAAAAAAATAGATTAGACTAAATTTTAGTATCCGCAAGTGGCACTATTCAACAAAAGCAAATTGCCTATTTTAATTGTGATAAATAGTGAAAATCGAGCAAAAAATAGCAGCCCCAATTTGGATTATATTTCATCTCCTGTAGCGTAACCATGGCTAAGTTACAAAGCCACTCGCACCGATTCGCAAAGACTATTGATGAAAAGCTTTCACAAAAAGGCAAATCTTTAAGAGAATGTACGCATTGCTATTTCGAATTTTTTGCCCAAGGGGAGTAGAGTTTTGAACATTCTTTTCACAAATTAGTTTCAAAAACGTTCGGATTCTTTTCAGGAGGTTATCAATGGTTTTTGGTAAATGTGTGCCTAAAAAATTATGCAACTATGTATTGTATGAAAGTATTACGTTTACCTGCACTGCCTCTACACTAAACCTAATTTTACAAGCTTTAACTTATTAAACGCGAAAGCAAAAGAGGAAATTTAGAAGAACCAAATTTTGGAGGACACTAAAAGAGAGGATATATTCAAAAACCCATAATAAAAAGTTTCGACCTCTACAAAGGGGTGTCTGTACGACCTGAAGTATATATGTAACACTCGTGAATCTTTGTTATGTAATCAAAATTTTCATAACAACAATATTAGTCCGCGAAATTCGAGCGTTACATATATGTAAAACTAGCGTTTAAAGAGTTAATTTATTTTGCTCATCTCGCAGAACAAGGAAAACGGCTATAATTTATGTAGTTATATAGATAATTAGATACCATTCAGAAAAAATTTCACTTGCAGTAATTTCTACGTGGTAAGTGCTCCTCTATTATTTGGTTTCATAGGGACTCGGATTCCTTTCCTGAAGTAGTAAAGAAATATCGCTGTACCGTTTAAATAATATCTGTGGAGAGTTGGGGAATACTGAAACCTTAAGTGAAAATGAAGTGTTTTATGAACTGCCTTATGAATCTCTCCTCAAGGCATATCTGCGAGACATGTAGTATTTTTTTTTTTAATTTACGAATTTCAATAATGCCATAATTAATGGCTAGATGAAATCATTTATGTACATATGAAATACATATTTTATTATGTAGCTCATTTCAAGGGGGAGGGGGTTGAGTATGGTAAGCAGATAACTTGTGTCAAAACCAAGCTAATTGGACAATGTTTTCGAGTACTACTTAAACACATACATATACTCATCATTTGAACATAAAAAACGTTGCGTGGCAAAGTCTGTCTTACGAATGCTAAGTCATATTTTCACATTTTATTTACTGACTTTAAAATTTTTTTTAACGCTTGACAGCATTTTATATCAAAATAGTGCAATTTTTTAGCTGCTATTAATTTCGCACAGAAAACGTAATCATTTGACCTAATGTGCAGTGGTCAAAAGATTATAGCCGAAGCACTTTTTTCCAAGTTTTAACGTATTATTTTTGTTGTCATTGAACTTTTGTTATTTTTGTTTACAAAAAATATAGTTCATTCTTTAACAAAACCCGTGTAAATCCAAATTTAAAAATTTGTGCAATATTAAAAAAAATTCAACAATTTTTCGTGTAAATTTCGAACTTTTTAAAAACTCTAAAAAATCAATCAAAATTTTTAGCCATTTGTAACTCATACTTTATTCTACCAGAATTCAATGCGCTACAAAACTGCATACTAAGAATTTAATTAAAAAAATTGAAATTTTAACGAAAATTTGTCGAATTATTTTTTTAAATTGCGTAAATTTTTAAGGCAGTGTCACTCGATTGGTACATTTGTACAGATTTGTACATTTTTATATTGGGCTATTGGTAAAAAAATGGGGAAATTTTGATTTTTGTAGTTAAAAGATTGGTACAGCGATGTTCTATTGAAAATTTTCAACAAATTAATTTTCGTGATTGGGATAAAGAAAAATATTTTGGGTATTCGCACAATTGGGATACGATTTGCACCAAATTTTGGAAAATACCCAATCGTGTGATGCTGCCTTTAAACTTGTATTTATACGGCTGTTTTAAAGAATGCACTATAAAAAAACTAACCAAAATTAAATAACAGCAAAAATAATATTTTAAAACTAGTGAAAATTTGGTGCGGCTATAATTTGTTCGACTACCGTACATAAGTTGACTATGATTACCCGGCCGTGCTATCATAGTAGCACAATACCACTAAGCGCATATTAAAATTTTCAGGCAATAGCCTCATGCGATCATCGATTATATTTTTTGTTGTTTGTGTGAAATATTTTATGTAGTTTTTATGTAGTTAAAAAAAAATTTTGCCAGACTGAAAAGCATGATGGCGGCAATGTTTGACAGGCACGTTCGACGATCCCAACGGCAATGGAAGGTAAGAAATGGAAGATGGATGACATGAGAATGAAGAATTATGAAATAGCAGAATGTCGAACCAAAACGAATTTAAAAAATCTGACAATGCGAATGGCGTCAAAATGAAAGAAATGCAAAATAGCGAAATGTCGAAACAGAAAAAATATTTGACATGCTCGTGTTCAAGGGTTGCGTGCAACAAAAAGAGTTGTTGTGTTGCCCCATTCAATATTAAAAAAAATTTAATGTGGTTAGAAATGCAAAATAGCGAAATGTCGAAACAGAAAAAATATTTGACATGCTCGTGCTCAAGGGTTGCGTGCAACGAAAAGAGTTGTTGTGTTGCCCCATTCAATATTAAAAAAAATTTAATGTGGTTAAATACGCTTTTTTTATTAAGTTGAAAAAACTACATATTACGCCAGCCAAAAAGTGTATAAATAAATATATAGCAAGTTGCTATAAGATTTATTTATAAAAACGGTATATGCTTTTGCCTTAAGGTGCTGGCCCAATGCAGGCTTGCTTTGCTTGCTTCGCTGCGAGAAGTGTCAAAAATTATTTCGAATATACTAAAACGTATAAAGGCTGGCCAAATGGCAGCTTTTCTTCACTTGCTTTAAGCGCCTCAAAGTTTGAATTAGGCAAATGTTTTATTTGAAAGCGTTTTGTAGGCTTTTGACAAAGAGGTATGTTCCTCTCTAAATACATAAATTCAAACAAAAATTTGCTTACTTAATTTAAAAAAGTCACAGAAAATGCAGGTAATTCGAAATGAAATAAAAATGATTCATTGTTTCCATATTTATATTTAACATATCGTTATCTTATAGTAAAAAGTTGCAAAGCTCACTATTACAAATTTTACACGAGAGGAAAAAACTTCTTCTTCAAGTAAATCGCTTTTTTAAGTTATAGTTTTTTTTAGTAAATGTAGATATAGATATGTATGTATCATTATTATAATTTCTTTTAAATACAAACATTATTTCGCATTAATTTAAAAATAAATCTGAAAGTTTTTCATACATTTTCTAGAGTTTTCTAGGAAATGATTATTAACGTTAAGGGAACTGACATTGACTTTTCAACCAGGCAGCTGGTTACTTTGACAGCGTTCCAAGCCACCATTCGGCCAAGCAAGTTTTCAAAGTAAATCAAAGCAAATTGAAGTCAGCAAGGCGTGCAAAGCAAGCCTGCATTGGGCCAGCGCCTTTATTCATAAAAAATAAAATTGATTTAAAGAGCTCTATACGGTAACATTAAACAAAATCGATTTGGTTACTTTTTAAGAATCTTGGCATAATATTTAACTTAACTTTTTGTGCACCCATCTGTGCACCTTTCTGTTTATTATTCTCAATTTTTTCTTCTCCTTAATACTCATTTGACTGAGATTCAATTACGCCCAGTAAAAATCATGATAAAAACATTAGAAGGTAAAAATATTTCTCAATTTAGATTTTAAAGTTTTTTCTGAAACTTGAATGTAACTCTGTGCGGAGAATGAGAGAATTGAAAATCAGGTGATCTCAGCTGTAAACAAACAAAATGGCGCTTTCCATACTTGGACTCATGGTGAAATAAAAATAAGGTGATATCAGTAATCCAATATGGCGTCGAATTTGACAAAATTCGCCATCATAAATTACAATGTTGCTTACTCTATTTTTAGTTCCTATTTGTGTTTCCAATAAGAAATATACTGTAGGCAACACTGTTTCTCTGTTTCCTTTTTTACTTTGACATTCGCCTGCGTTCTCACTAAATTGCGTAAAATTTTCGGAACTTTTAGTTGCGTTGGTAAGTTATCTGTATTATATTTTCGATAGTTTTGGTTAAAGTAATACTTTTTCCTTAACTAGCCCCGAATAAAGACTAAAGAGCATTCAAAAAGCGCCTTGCTGCTGTTCCTGCTGCAACGTACCACCAAATTGGTTTGTAATTCAACATTGCGATTTGTAAGTATGTATGTACATGCATATAATTTATACATTTTCTATTAAATGTTGTGCTTGTCCTCAACCAGCTTTACACTGTTCTGTTCCTGGTGGAACATAGCACCATAGTGCCTGGTGATTCCACATCCCAACAGCAAGTTGGAAGTCGGTTCCTGCTTCATTGTGCCACCTTATTGCTAGGTGAATCAACAACCAAGTTTGTTGCTCTTGCTGCATTGTGCCACCGTATTGGTGTATGATTTAACATTGCGATTTGTAAGTATGTGTGTTGTGAATAAAATTCATACATTTCTATAAAACTTTCACTTTGTTCAACCAGCTCTACATTGTGCTGATCCTGCTGCGTTGTGTCACCTTATTGTTAGGTGATTCAACAACCGAGTTTGAAGGCTGTTACTGCTGCATTGTGCCACCCTATTGTAACGTAATTTGAACTTCTGAGCTGTAAACTTCTTTCGTGGTAAGATTGTACATAAAGTAGATCTTTTGTTAAAATGTAAACATGTACACGTTCTGAGATTTTGTAGAATAAAGAATGAAACATACATAAACATACATAAGTGGCAAACTATTTCACTTTGAAATCGGGGAGCTATGGTATTAACCGATACTGTATATAAATACACAAAATAAACAAACATTTTATTTGTCACGTAGAAAGAATCGTTTCGTAGCTTGGTGATTTTTAGTCTACAGTTGTATACTAGTTGTTAACCCTCTGGAAGATATATCACAATCTAGCTCTAAGTGGGAACTCCAAAAATGGTTCATTACTTTAGCTTTTATTGATTGGATTATTTTATTATTTAACGGTGTGAAGTTTCATAATACGACTTTTATGCTTACGACATGCAACAATACGACAGTATACAACACCTAGTGAATATGTTTTATCCTTCTAGAGGATTAAATGAACTAATTATTATTTTAATTATTGACGTATTATTTTTTAATAGAATATGTCAAGAGTACCTTGCGCTTTGTGCCATACGACATGGCCAGGTGCAGGTGTAAGTCGTTTTCAAGTTCCTCAAGAAGAAATTAAAAGAAAAAAAATGGAGTGAGGCCGGGTGTGTCAGAGTTTGCGAATTACATTTTGATAAATGTGACTTCGATATGGAACCTGGTGCTAAACGCAAAAGGTTGCGAAAGGATGCCATCCCGATGAGGGTGGAATATTTATCCTCTTGGAAAGCACCAGTTCCCATAATCACTTCAAAACAGGATGCTTCAACACAAACCGAGTATGAAAAAAATGCATACATATAAACAAATATCAATGCCAACATATTTACGTTTTTATAGTATTAACCTCACTGTTACGATGCAACTTGAAAATATAACAATGCTAAAAGCGCAGGTGGCTGCGCAGCTGAAGGAAGCCAACGAGTTGAAAGCTTTCAGAAGTGGTATAAACTTGAATTTCACAGAAAATCAAGTAAGTAAATTAAGAAACCCTGCTAAAAATATACATTGGGTATATGAAGATATTGCGTGGGCAATACCATTACATGCAGCAGGTCCTAGGTTTACCGTTGCCCTCGGCGTCCACTTTGTCGAGATGGCTTCAGCGAATGAAGTTTCACGACGGCATTTTAAAATTCGTTTTAAACGAAATGCACGCGGCAAGCACATGGAGTTGGTCGACAGAGTGTGCCTCATTGTCTTCGATGAGAGGGCAGTTGCCCCATCATTTGAGCACGACCCACTTACGAACACTGTGAGGAAGCCTGCAAGATATGTGCAAATGGCTATAGCAAGAGGACTCAAGCAATCTTGGAAACAACCCGTTTTTTACGCTTTCGACTGTAAAATGACAAAAAGCATTCTGGAAGGCCTGATTTCCCAGTTAGAAAATGCAGGCTATCCCGTCGTTGGCATCGTATCCGATATGGGAAGTGCCAACCGAGCTCTTTGGAGGGCATTAGAGGTGTCCACGGGTAATTATAGAATTAAGAGCAGTTAAATTTGCATTACTATAAGCAATTAAAACAATTAGGTGCTTTCATTAATTGTAATAATTAACAGTTATTTTTTTACTCTTTTTTATACAGAAAAGACATGGTTTTCGAGTCCAAGCGGTGACAGTGGCAGAGTTTTTGTCTTTGCAGACGCGCCTCACCTTTTAAAATTACTGTGAAACCATTTCCTGGACAGCGGGTATGTTTTCCAGAACAAACAAATATGCGCAGAAACGATAGACCAAGTTATGAGATGTACGTCAATGTCCGATTTGTCCATCACCCATAAATTGAAGCAGCAGCACCTCACTGTCCGGCGCGAGGGTCGACAAAAAGTGAGACGTGCGGCACAACTGCTATCGCATAGCACTGCTAGTGCAATCAGACGTTGCTATGCAATGGGTTCGCAGCTGACAAATCCTCTCGAGACAGCAGACTTTATTGAAGTCATCGACAACTGGTTCGACCTTCTCAACAGCAAGCTGAGAACTCCGCAGTGCAATCCGGCAAGGAAACCATACGGGCTGGACTTGGTGCCGCAAAACGCCATTTTAGAGTCCATGAATTGGTTAGCATTGAATGCGAGGGCGCGGTTTCACTACACTCTATTGCCTTGCCAAAAAGGTATTCTGATGACCAATGCATCCTTAAAAGGTTTGTTCCAGTATGTCCAAGAGAGGTATGAAATGAGGCATATCCTCACTTACCACCTCAACCAGGATGTAGTGGAGCACTTCTTTGGTGCAATGAGAGCGAAGGGTGGCCTTCATGACAAGCCCAGCCCAATGCAATTTAAATACAAGCTGCAGAAATATTTGCTTGGTCAGTTTCAATTATTATTAAAACATGTATCATCGTTATCTTCTACCTTTGTTTACATTACAGCAGTTTTTGAGACGAAGTGGCAACGTGGCAATGGACGACACCGAATGGCTAGGGCTTCACAGTATCCCATCATCCACACTTAGGGGATACCTTTCCGAAGCGGGCAGCTGCATTACGGCAGTTGACGTAGATGAAATGGATGATGATATGGACCAATACCATGAAGACGCGGTTGAGCATCTGGGTGGTTACATCATTCGAAAACTCCATCTCGACGGTCTTCGCTCCCAAGATCAAACATTTACTTGGGTGGAGGAGTTATCAAGGGGTGGGCTGGTTAAGCCGAGCGCTCAATTCGTCCAAAAGTTAAAGGTGTTGGAAAAAATATTTCATGACGTCAATGGGGCCAAAATATATTGTGGCAGAGGTTTCATGGCAACGATGCTTAAAAAATCCGAGCTGGTTGATTTGCCAGAAACAGTAAAGAAAAAGTTTTTCACATGCAGGATGTATTTCCGCATGAAATTTTTAAACAACAAACGACGTAGTAATAATTATAAATCATATACATATTTAGCTGTGATTAATTTTTGCCAAAGAATTTGTAAAATGAACCAGTTTGAAATTGCATTTATTTATTATCACAACATTTGCATGCATTATAAATTCGAAGAACATGAGCTATTAATAAACATCTAAAACTAAAAAATATGCACTTAAAATACTCAATAAACTTGAAAATATCCTGCGATAAATGGTGGTTGTCTTTAGTTCATCAAGTTCTCTCTCAGCTTTAAATTCTCGCCTGAAGCATTATTTCCAAGCCGATAAGAGGGAATATAAAATGGATAAGTAGGGATCAACACATACCAAAACATGTTTGATTCCAAAAGTTTTTTAGAGCTTTACCAAATTATAAATAAATATTTAAAAATAGTAGACAAGATTTTCTTTTTTCTTTTCGGATTTTCGACAATAAAAATTATCGCATGCCTCCCAATGCATAATAATTACTTTTCTATGTTTTATTAATTAAATAACAATTAATTGCTGATTTATTGTCACTCCAGTACTACGATTTTAATAAAGTAGTAAGGGGTACCAAAAGATTCCCTTTTCTACTAACCTCAAATACATGACCGGAGTATGAGGGTCGACAAATAGTTTCTGATGTCACCTTGTTTTTATTTCACCATGACTTGGACTCAAGCAAGCATCACACGATTGGTACATTTGTACAGATTTGTATATTTTGGCTGTCACAGAGTGGAGTTATCTAAAAAATGTTATCGGGAATGAGTTCAGCTTAATGAAAGCTTTTCAAGCAACACCACACTGTAACTGTGAAAATGTTTAAAACTGTACAAATGTACAAATCGTGTGATCCCTACCTAAGTCTTGTATAGTCGAGCAATTACATTTGGTTTCTGCACCTTTGGGTATTGTCTAGCATTTGCTGTTATTTCCGAGCATTTTTAGTATTTTTTAGTATGTTCGAAATAACTTTGAAAAAAGTTGTTAAAATGCATCTACATGTATATGGAAGGCTTATATTAAATATGATCTATCTGCAATTTTCACAAAAATTAGATTAATATTAAAAAATCGACCTAAGACTTAATAGTCATCGATGATGTTCATGGGCGTACGCAGAGTATAATCATTTGGGGGCGGGGCTGAGACTTTTTGTAATGTAAATATTACCTATTATAAATGCTAAAATATAAACAAGAAGATGTTATCAATTCATCGGAATATTTTTTGTATGTATGTTACCGCATAAGTTTGGACCTCATTAACTGAATTTGATAATTCTTTTTCTTTCGGGGGAAGTCCCATACTAATTTGGTTTAGATCCGATCATTGTATCATGAAGAAATTAATGGTACTTCTAAATTTTTATAAGAGAGTTGAAGCCGGTTGTATTTTTCGCTTAAGAATTACTTGTTATTGTAACAATTGAGTTGCACCGAGCCGTACAAAGGAATTTATATTTCATGAAGCTTATTATGAAGTTATTGAAGAATTAAAATAAAAATTTCCGCTTTGTGTGACAACAACAAGGCGCACGCCACAAGTCGGAGGAGAAGCTCGGCCAAACACTAACATTTTGTAAGCGCCAATCTATTATTATTATTTAAAAATAAAAATTTGTTAGTTACCTTATTTGCATGCAAATTTTAGAATGCGACTTCGTCTTTACACCAAAATTGTAATTTTTTAATTATTTTTAATCGACTTTAAAAAAGGAGGTTATCTATTCGTCGGAATATCTTTTTATGTATGTTACCGCACAAGCGATTTCGATAATTTTTTTTTTAAAGAAATGTGGTACCTCAGAGGTTGTCCCATCCTAATTTGGTTTACATCCGATTATTGGATCATGAAGAAATTAATGATAATCTTAAAGTTGTACGTGAGAATTGTTGGTTTTGTTTTTCAATAAAAATTACTTGTTTGTTAAACAATAGTCTTGGAGTGTCTTCTGAAAATGGATAAATCGTTTTTTTTTTTTTTCTACAAAACCTCTATTAACCCTTAGCATACTAAACCTAAATTCACGTACAAACTAAGTAGATAACATTAAAAGATAATAATTATTTTACCATATTTTTAAAGTAAATGACCGATACGATTAAGTAAAAATCATAAAATTTTTTGTTACAAATTTTTTCTTGCATAGGAAAAAAGCACTAATCAGCTGTTTATAAACGTAGTTTATCATACTAACAAAAACTAACAAAACCAAGCTGAAAAGAACGTTCACAGTTGATAAAATTATCGAGTAACAACGTCACCACCAGATTAACTTAAATGCTTCCATTTTGCTATAAAACTGAAGATTTATAAAAACTAAAATATAATTAATTGTTATTTTCGTCAAATGTTTAAATAATTATGAAACTTTACCTTCTCAATCATTTCTGTGCGCTTTACAACTATAAATGTGAAAATGAAAATCAAAA